TATATACACATACAAATACACACGCACACACACACACACACACACACACACAATACAGACATGTTAGTACACTGGAGTCAATTTAGGAGCTGTGGGACAAACATACATCAACCTGTACTACGATGATGCGATTTTGAGTATACGAGGGAGCTGCTCGGATCAATCACGACCCAAACAAGCTTGAATAGTCCCAAACACACGCTACACAATTCGAAAACGAATGATATACATTGCACAGAGCCACGAACGTCATTTACTAGTAGAACTGTTGGACTGTAAATACATACAGTTTGAACCTAGAACGTTACATAACATTAACCGCACCTGCTTTCGCTTTTTGGCAATAGCCTTGTCTTCTTCTTTCTGCTTGGCCAATCGGATTGCTTCTTTTTCAGCGTCTATCTTAGCCTTTTCCGCGTCCTTTTCAGCGCGCTCCCTGTCTCTCTTGTCGATCACCGCTTGTTTTTCCGCCTCTTTGGCGAGCCGAATCTTTTCTCGCGCCTCTTTTTGTTCTTGTTTGATCTGTCAGAGGTCGCAGATGGTAGTACCAGATATGCGTTTAGCGGAAGAATATTTTATTATTTGGCACGAGTTTATACTGTTTACTTTCCGTGTTCTGAGTTACCATACTGGACTTGCATCGTGCCTTTAATATTTGTAAAAACATTGTAATCACCTTGATTGTGTAGCCAACAGTATGCAAAAGTCTCGCAATGTATGTCGAGCAACACAACAATTTCCACACTTATACAAATATCAATACAGAACGCACAGGATGTCACACGTCTGCACGTACACAAAACGATCTACCACTCACAGGCAAGCACACGTGCACACACATGCCGCCACACCTTCTCTGCTTTCTCCCTTTCAGCCGTCTTGATGGCCTCCTTGCGCTCCCTCTCCTGCTCAATCTTCCTGCGCTTGGCGGCTCTTTCCTCCTCCTTGGCCTGCTTTTCTTCTTCTCGTTGTTTCATTTTTTCCAGTCGCTCTTGCTCTTTAGCCAACCTTTTGCGTTCTCTTTCATTTTCCAGAGCTAGCAAAGGTGGATTAAATGCAAGTAGCGTCAGTATACTCGGGTTAGAAACTGATCGGCACTTTTACCATTTCAGCTCAGAACTTGCATGAGTGAAAGATCCAGGTCAAAGAGTGCTTACAGGTCAACGATTTAAAAAATGGAAATCATACTCAGGTCATGAGCATGCAATGGAAATATAGGAATATTTTGCCAGTCTCCAAGGACAAATGCAAAATACAGGAAATATAAAATTTTAAAGCATAATATGTTTAAAATGAATATATATATATATATATATATATAATATATATATATATATATGTATAGAATAACTTACTATTTA